GGGGAGAGGAAGGGAAGGAAATTGTAAACGGCTTTGAAACTTCATGAAGGGCGGGGAAGAAATCCAGTCTCCTCCGTCACCTCTATGATCATAATTTATTTAGTGTAAGGATGTATCTTGCACTATCCTACCGTGGTTATTTTTTAAAAACAGGATGTTTTTTAACAGTAAGGAGTGGGCTGTGAGGGAAAGCGGCATGGTATAGCCTGGTCTTGGAAGCTAAGTAGGGTCAGTACTTGGACTGCCAAGGAAGACTCTGTGAAGGGAGGCAAGGGCAAACCACCTCTGCTTCTCACTTGCCTTGAGAGCCCTTTGCTGAGGCAGTTACACACACACACACACACATATAGCAAGCTGTGCAGTAAAACACATTAAAATAATAGCTGCACATTTGAGGAAATGACTTTTGACCCAAGAAACCTTATGCTGGCATACGTTTTGTTAAGTCTTTCAGGTGCCACCAGACTCGAGTTATCTTTTGCTGCTACAGACTAACACTGGCCTGAATACTAAACTAAAAAAAAAGGTCTCCCCCCCACATAGCACGTACAAAGCTCCTATCCTGCCCTTAACCCACCCCCACTCCCATTTACGGTAGACCCGCTCTAATGAATGGGTATATTAACAGTACCGAGGAAAAGAACTAATGGAGTAGGGCTGGCAAAGAGAGCAATTGCTGTGTCTTACCAGGTTTAGAGAGGTACTTCTGGAAAAGTGATGTACTGAATCTTTGCTGGAAAATAACACTGGGTGAGAGACAGCTGAATGTGTTCGGACACTCTCTGTCAAAGTTAATAGGGAAAGGGCCGCACGTGGGTACAGTCCTTGGGCCTACACTGTTCCAGAAGAGTCACCCCAACGGCTCGTGAGGCGGGGCTGTAAACAGTTGCTACCACCTAGTATTGCCAGAGGAAAGTTGTGTGGGCTTTGGGGGCCGGAATATGCCTGCTTTTGGCTGGATACAAGCGTCGTGGAAGCTCTGTTTCCACACACACGCACACACACACACACACCAAATTCATGATCAGGGACAATGCAAGGATTATGACCCTCTCCCTCACTAATTGATCTCCTCCTGACGTGAGCATAGTTAGAGCATGGCCGGCCTGGTCATGGAAGGAGATTATGTTGCAGCATGATTTGATCTGACGAACCTGCTTTCTGTGCTCATCTAGTTGTTACATCTGAAGATACTTGGGACCAACACTCCCTTCTAAGCTGTGAACACACACAGACACCCAAATTCATGATCAGGGACAAAGCAAGGATTATGACCCTCTCCCTCACTCACTCATCTCCTCCTGAAGTTAGCATAGTTAGAGCATGGCCAGCCTAGTCATGGAAGGAGATTATGTTGCAGCATGATTTGATCTGACCAACCTGCTTTCTGTGCTCATCTAGTTGTTACATCTGAAGATACTTGTTGGGACATGTCTGACGGTGGTCGATGTCAGCATGTGAGGGTTCAACACACAGCCCTGGTGTGTACGTTCAGGGCCAGCATGAAGCAGGCCACCCCAGGTATCAGGTTTACAATACTATAAAATATTGTCCATTATGTAGTGTCCACCACCATATATTTTTTATTTCATCACAAGGGGGCGCCCTTTAGGTTTTCTGTCTCTGGTATCAAAATATCTTGAGCGATCTCTGTGTAGATTGTGCGTGCGCCATGGGGTGGGAGTGAATTCCCCACCACATGTAGAACCGTTAGTGTCCATTCAGGGCCTACACAGAGATCATGTTGGGGGTTTTTTTTGGGGGGGACACACCACTTAAATGCAAAATGAGTTCATAATGGTAATAATTTGTGGCTTTTATATACTGCATTTTAAGTGTTCACGTATATTATTTCTGACCTTACAGCAATTCTGTAAAGTTTGTAATTATTGTGTCTTCATTTGGGGGGGGGGGAGGCAGGGGCTAAGAGAGGGGCGCTTTGCTAAGATCGTCTTGCAAGTTCATGGCCAACCCGAGAGTTAAACCAGGTCCTCAGCTCTTGACAGCCATGCTACACCAGCTCTCTCCAGTGGAACAACTTGTCCTTGTATTGAAAACCAAGCTTGTACTGAATGTAAAGAGGAGGAAACCAAGGCTCCACAAGGGGTACTTATTAGACACCGATGGCTTCAGGTGCAGCTACCCCCAAGGACAATGAGATTGATACTTAGCCTCACAATGCTCATTCTGTACTACTTTATCCATTCTGGAGGTGGCAGCAAGGATCTGTCTGAAAATAATTTTTCATAGGGTGATTTACAAGAGTGAGCAGGACAAAAGAGCCCAAGATAAACCGCTCTGACTGTGGGAAGCACTTAATTAGCAAGCACCCTTTATCACACACGAGAGAATCTGTGTAGGAAAGAAATTGTATGCTTGCTCAATTTAGGAGGAAGTCTTCCATCAGGGCCCATTCCTTATTAGAAACAAGAGGAAAATCTTCAGCCACTCATCATACTTTGTCAGAAACCAAAGCTTAGACTCCAGGAAAAGTGGCTGTCATAAACACAAGGAAATTCATACATGGGTGTTACTAGGGATGGGCATGAACTGCACCACGAATCCATACAAACCGGGAAGCTGATTGACTAGCCAACCAGGTTCATATCAGTTTGTGAGCCACTTAAAGTTTAAACCCCTGCTTTCTGCTCCCCATGGCTTTTCATGGGTAGCAAAAGCAGGTGTGTGAGTAGCAGGAGTGCCACTCATCTGTTTGGTTTAAATGGCTCCAACCCATTTAAACCCTGCTTTCTGCTCCCTACAGAAAGCCGTGGGGAACAAAAAGCAGGGGTTTCCAAACAGCTGTGTTTCATGAAGAGCGGAAGGCAAGGGTTAGCTCTTTGCTCTTCACGGACCAGGTTCATATCAGTTTGTGAGCCACTTAAAGTTTAAACCCCTGCTTTCTGCTCCCCATGGCTTTTCATGGGTAGCAAAAGCAGGTGTGTGAGTAGCAGGAGTGCCACTCATCTGTTTGGTTTAAATGGCTCCAACCCATTTAAACCCTGTTTTCTGCTCCCTACAGAAAGCCGTGGGGAACAAAAAGCAGGGGTTTCCAAACAGCTGTGTTTCGTGAAGAGCGGAAGGCAAGGGTCTGCTCTTTGCTCTTCACGGACCACCACGAACTGCATCAAAATCCGTGAAAGTTTGTGGCAATTCTTCAGTTCACTAACCACAAACCAGCAAAAATTTGTGACAAACTTTAGTTTGTCAGCCAGTTTGTGCCCATCCCTAGGTGTTACTGTCTGAGGGTTCAGACTGTGGGAAAGGCTTCAAGGCTGGATCAGACCTTGCCATGCATGTCTCACCTCATACAGGAGAGAGCCTGGACAAATATGTAGACGGTGGGCTCCATTTAGCAGACAAAGTGGCACATAAAAGACTTCCCAGCACTTGTGTTTTCTGAAAATACTGCGCATCCTTTCACTGTTGACAGTGAAATAGAGGGTTATACATGGAAACTAAGACAACAAAGAGATGCTGTGGGGGGCGGGTAACGTAATTGTTTTATTGTGGCACAAATTTTTAGCAAGCAACTGCTTGTTCCATCAAATGCAGGAAGTGAACTGAGAAAGTGCTAGGAATACATACACGTGAGGTCCACTGGAAGACAAGCCAACAGGATACATTCGGGGCTCTGGCTTTAATGCTACTTACAGAAAGGCAATGGTTAAGCAGTATGACGTTGCTTCTCAGGGAATGGCCATTAATGCACGGTACTTATCTAGCTTGAAGAGTGCTTGTTGCCAATGGAAATCATTTTCAAGGGAAGTACCTAAATCTGAGGAGACAGTGTTTCCGGGAAGAAGCTTCCTGAGCTCCCACTGTGGCAATCCGGCACCTAAGAGCAGGAAAGTGCTCTCCACCACTTCCTCCAAGCCACGTCCATTGCCTAACCAACACCCTGCATGTGACAGCCATGTGCA